ATTTTACAAGTTGGCCACGCCCACCCAGTCACATGGCCGGCAAGCCACTCCCACCAGGTCACATGGCCAGCAAGCCACTTCCACTCAGTCACATGGTCGGCAAGCCACTCCCACAAAGCAGGCCACACCTACAGAAGAGGTTCTAAAAAAATTTGAAACCCACCACTGGGCATGGTACATAATAATAAAATACAACTTTTAACAATCTGGTATAATAATACAGTACATTCAATAATATAGCACATTCCAATCTGAGAACACAAAATATAAGGCCTCTCTAAGATAATGGCCTATAGCAGGAGTGTCAAACTCAAGGCTCGGGGGGGCGGGGGGAGCCGGCAGCTTCAAATGCCAGAGTTTCTGAGCCAACATTTTGATTGCTAAGCAAGAGCGTTGTTAAGTGAGTTTCACCACATTTTACAAGTTGGCTATGCCCACCCAGTCACATGGCTGGCAAGCCACTCCCACCAGGCCACATGGCTGGTAAGCCACTCCCACAAAGCAAGCCACACCTACAGAAGAGGTTCTAAAAAAAAATTGAAACCCACCACTGGAGCGGTGAGAAGCTTATGTGATGGAGATCTCTTTACTCCCCACTTGTCAGCTTTCCCAGGTAAACCAAACAGGAAACACATCAGATGAACTAATTCTAATCTTATTGTGAGGCTACGTTAACAGAATCTTGCAAGCCTGAAAGTACAAAACTGCCACCATCTCTTTCTGTAGCCTGATAAGTTAGGGAGGGATTCCTTCTCAGTTTCTTTCTTTGCCTGTTATGCAACTGTGGGCTCCCCCAGTTATCTGACTTCCCTAAGCAGCATCTCTTTCCCCCATTTCCCACGGTCCTTTCTATAGTTCACTAAGTCATTATTTCCTTAGTTGAGGTTGTTGAAGAGTTGATATTTAGCTGGATTCACATTAACATGCCGGGCCCAAACTAAACACACAATAAATAGCTTGGCATGATGCATTTGATAATTTTATCAGATCCCACTTTCACCATGGTATCCGGAATTGAAGAGGTCGGCTCGAGCATGCAAAAACTGTAGAATTGAAATTACATTTAAATAATATTTTATGTTTGACTTGGCAAGCAAGGTTAGCACTTACCTTGTGAACAAAATAGCATCAAAATCCCTTATAAGAGGAAACCATGTTCATAATGAGCACTAGTATGCATGAATATGCGTGTATATGCAACAAAGACGTCATCTTTATTTCAAAGTGATATGAAATGCTGTAGGAATGAGTTTCTTTTTTATTTGAAAGAGAGCTGCCACTGACTCATCAATTTGTTCTCAAAATCCCCTTAAGTCATTTTTTAAAAAGATGTTGGGATGTGGGAAGAATAAAATAAATTAAAGCAGATTAAAAAGGAGCCCTCCTCCCTTCCCGTCAATAATTTTCTTTTAGCTCCACTTGATCCCGGTACGCATGCCTATGTGCAAAAAATCAGGCCTCCATAAAGCGTGCTCATCTTTGAGACACTTTACAAACAACATATTAAATAACTATTAGGTTATTAGTGAAGATTAGAAGTGCCAAATATCTTCCTT